ATTTGTTGTCTGTAATCGTGAAAATTTTAAAAGGATATTTGTAAAAGCTTAATTGAACGTGGTGGTAAGCTTATAAAAACAAAAGCTGTTTTGAAGGATTCTATTTTGGCCACATGTGGCTCTAAACCCTTTCAAGTTTATTCTAGCATGTTGATATACTTGTCTGTTAAAAAATGAAGGGTTCCAAATCCCAAAATTATCCTTTCATCCTGTGCCAACAAATGATTTTTTGAGTTTTGACTTAAACTACAGAAGTACGAAATATCTAGCCACTATGCAACACAGTCTCTTGCCGCCATTTTGGAAAACGAAAAGTGCCTGGGAACGAGGTTGTTTCCTTGGAAAAAGTTCCATTAGCTTTAATTGTGTCTAAGACTCCTGCTCAGTTGTTTCATGTGATTTGTTTCATTGGGGTTAAGTTGAGGCAATTTGCAGGTTGTCATGGGAAAGAATGAAGTAAAAGTAGTTTCCCTATTTGCTTTACCCCCTTCTTATGAGCTTCCACATGCCTCAGTGTCATCTCCTCCCCTTAACGCAATGTAGCCACTCAAACCAAATTGAACGCTTTATTTGTCAAACTTACTGTGCTTTTCATAAACATGGGAACACTAAAGCTGAAAAGCCACCTTCACAATTGCGTTTTTTTGCTGCCATCAATCATAATTACAATCACAAGCAACGAACCTTGAAACTCAGAAACACAGAAAACGGATCAAAATCCACCAATCACCAATCTCAAACCACGACCTTTTCAACCCATTAGAGTGAAGTTTTGTTTTCTAAGAGGTCCTATTAAGATGATTCACAGCAGCGAAAAACGCAATCGTCATTTGGCTTTTGCACTTCAGAATTTGCATGTTTGTGAAAAGTGCAGTATTAAATTAAACTTAATGGAACTTGATTGAACAATAAGGTTCAATCAAGGTCGCTAATTGAACACAATCAAACGCTCACTAGAAAATCTTAGTAATCAAACCCAATTGAACTTTGATTGAATTCGATTAGGTTCAATGGTCAAAGTTGGGACGTATTTGATTAAAAATGGGAAGTTATACCGCAAAAATGCATGTTTTACTGAATGATTCCTTTTCCTAGGGTGTTTTCCGACGAAGTACATTTCGGGAAATTGGTTGTTGCAGATCAGCGAAGTGTAATTTTTTTGGAGCAAAAATGTTAGCAAGAACACTATAGATATAGTCAATCTATCGTTCCTCCCACCTGATTCCTTTTAGGTTGTTTGCTGATTTCCTCGTGAGTTCTTTGCAGCTCACCTGATACTTTGCTCGCTAAAAGGGCTCTTCAAACTCCAGGCCCTGTCTATTTCAAGTGTTGGTTTAGAACGTTCGATTAAGTTTGATTGGTTCAATTACCTGAAAGTTCGCTAATCAACCCAAAAAATCGGTTGAGAGTTCAATTGAGTTTGACAAACTTTGATTACCGAACAGTTTGCGTGGTTACAGCCTTATCAAGTCTGATCAAGTCTGATTGTGTCATGTGATGCCCTTACTCATATCAATGAACTGGCTGGGTTTTCTGTAGTTACTACGAAATAACACTGGCTTCTTCGATCGTTGTCTTTGATGGAAGTTGTTATTTATTAGATGGGACAGCACAAGAAAGAGTGCAGAAAAAATTATTTGAAAAGACGCCGTAAGATGCTAAAGGAAAGGAAGACACAAGATGAGGACCCCACTTCCCACCTTCCAGAAGAGGAAAGCACTTCCAGTCCAGCGGAAAGGGTTGTTGATGAGCCTAATCCCAAGAAAAGAAGAGGCAATGATAGTCATGCAACTTTTGTGCTAATGCACAATACCGCACTCTTGGTGAATTACCACCTGAGTTGTACTTTAACCCCATGAAAGACGATCTGCATTTCTCCTTTGCAAAAATTCTTTGAAAATAAAAGAAAGCTACAGAAACTGATTCAAAATTCACTTAGTGATCACTGAACTGGTAAGTCTTTCCAAAAAAAGTAGTTCTGTTCTTACAGTGTTGTATTGGACTCGGGCTTGGTGTGTAGCATGCAAGGGCGACGTGACTTCTGAGCTCCGCAACAAAAATGGCTTCCTTCTCAGAACTGCTCAGTGTCGACAAAATTCGAAAGATCTGGAAGACAGAAATCAGAAACGAACGGAAGACTTAAATTGAAAAGATAAACTGCCTGATAACTAATCTGTCAAAGCGTCTGGACTCGATTGAATGGTCACAGCAATTGCTCAGCGATACATATAATTCCGTTTTGAAGTCAATGCAGTCGATCAAGAAACAGATGAAGGATCTTAACAACTGGTGCGAAGTCCAAGATAACAAAATCAACCATCTTAATGGCTCAGTCTACGATGCCGAAGCAGCCATAGACTCCATCCAACAGTACTCGAGGAGAGACTGCCTTGAAATTTCAGGACATTGCCTTTGGATTCTCCTACAAATCTAAGACAAGAAATAGGCCAGCTCATCAGTGCAACAATCGACAAGCAAGACATTTCGATCACCCACCAATTGCCCGATATTAAGGGTAAGAAGGACAGATTTATTGTCAAATTCATTCGTAGAGTAAAGCAAGACGAATTCTACAAGTCACACGAGCACCTCAGTGAGAAAAAAGCAAGCGTGCTTCCATCTGTGGCTTGTGAGATGGGGAAAAGCATCCACCAAGACTCTGCTATGTACATTAATGAATCCCTAACCCAGTGTCGTAGTGAACTCTTTGAAACGGTAGACAAATTCAAGAAGGAAAACAAGTACGAATTCCTATGGACGAATAATGGTAAGATCTATCTATGTAAACATGAAACCTCACAGACATTTACATTTACAACACTTAGTAGTTAATGGCTTCTAAAATGTTTGCATACCCCCATTTAATGATTTAGATGAAAGAGAATTTAGATTTGTACTTGGTTCTGGTAATGTCAATGACTTCATCAACTCTGGTGTTGATTTGTACAAAATCCTTCCAAATCCTGACAAGTTCAATACAGTTTGTAAATATTACATCAATTAAAGACAACGATAACTCAGTAATAAGAGTTGGTTCTGTTATAAGCTGCTGTAGCCCATATATATCAGAAATTTCACAAAGTAAACGTGTATTAGAGTCGAAATGGGCAGAGGCCATATTGCAATTCAAGTCACCCATCAGATAATATTCAAGATCGAGAGAGTCTAATTTTCCGATAAGGGTCTCATATTTCAGGACTTAAGAACTGCTGTAAAAGACTTGTACACCAAATCGAATTATAATAGTATCAAACTTTTTTCTCTTTTTTGAAAGGCAATGATATTCTTATATTAGATAATTATTGATTTAATAATTTTATCAATTAATGAGGGCACCAATGCAATGCATGTTCATTTTCACACCAAAAAACGCCAACAAAAAATCGTAGACAGCAACCAGAAGGTGGATGTCATGAGGGGACAGCAAAAGAGAAACAGAAAAAACATGGCAAGTATATTTTGTTAAGAGGCAAATAAATTACTTTGTTATTTTCTATAATCTCTTGTGGAAAAATTGGAACAAGAAAGGAATAGTGTGCTTCATTCTTTAACAAATGCAAAATAGACTGAGAGAGGCATTTCTGCTTTCTATTTTAACACCTGTTGCAAAAAAGATATTTCATATATACTATATAGAAGAGTTAGTAGGAATAATATACAAGAAGAATGCTTTTAGCATTGCATCATTGTTCTGCAACTCAATCACGTTTATGCTCGGTATAAGTGGTACATGTATGTTTACTAACTTTGGGTTACTTGTTGGCTGCTGGCTAAGTCTTGCTCTTCATTTTTCTTTCAGAACAAAAATAAAAGGGCCAAAGCTCTGAGGGAGTCCACCAGCATCAGCCAGTCAGACAAGGACAAGTACCTTGCATGTATGTCCATTCCAAATACGTCCGCAGAGGAGTCTTTGTCTGAACCTGAATCAGGAAGACATGACGGCAATTCCTCAGGTTCAGATAAGGACCTCCCAAACAGGAAGACCCTGTGTGAGACCACTTCTTTGGCGAAGCAGAGAGGTGAACGGGTTAATGGCTCGGTTGGACCGCAAAGTCACTCGACGTCAAAGCCAACGGAGTGCGAGTATGGTTATAGAATGCACAGTGGGACCAGCATCAAAATGAGAAGCACCAGATGATGCTCCCGAGTTTGCTCTGGCACCCACCACTTAGAAAAAAGAACTAAATCATAAACATACAGATAATTTTGCTATTAAGCTGATTTTTAAGCATTTCGGCCCTGGGAAAGTCTGCATGAAAAAACAACAAAAAAGAAATTTTATTTGAAGACCATTTAGAAAAGAAGACATTTTAGGTATTTACAAAATAACAATAACACACAAGTAAAAGTTGACAAGCATCATGATTCGGTTCCTTTTTAGTCAAGTTTCTCTAATCATGTTACTTGATAGACATTCCACAATTTTTTTAGTTTCGATAGAGAAATAAGTGACCATCCTTTGACACTCAAGGGAAGGAGCCACGTTAAAACTAGTTAAAAAGTTATTACCTATTGGTCTGTGTCCCCTCAGAACCATCCAGTGATAGAATTAACTGACAATAACTTTTGTTAGAAATTTATGCCTAACAGAACATGAGTTCTCGTGAATGACTCACTGATTACAGTGAACACCAGACATTTAATAATAACTAGAAATACGTTATCGCAAAAGTCCCGCGAAGCTATAATATATAATAAGTCATGCCTTCAGGCTTCTTTTAAGATAGATATTAGACTGATAAAAAACAAGCAATATTTTTTCCATTCTAACATTTTTTGATTACCTTGACTGCCCCGCAAACAGTCTTCGGGCGAGGCAGCAGGGCAATTACCTCCCAATTATCATTTTCATTTGACCGAAAAGGTGTGATAAACAGTTTTTAATAGCAGGAAACAATAGCTTCACAATGTTTTGTTTACTAATTTCCCTTAGGCTTAAATGAAAATGGGATGCATGTATAAAACGGCCAAGCCAAAGGGAAGTCAATTAGACCATAGCAATGGCCGATGATCCATACGATTTCGAAAATGATGATTATGAAGAATCGAGTACGCCGAATTTTGAGCCTTCTTTTATGCTAAATTTTGAAAGAACTGACGAAGAGCAGGCTACGCAAATTTTTGGAGAAAGTGATGACGAGGAGTTTACTGGTTTCATAGAGGCAGAACAGGTGTCCCGTAAGCCTGAACATAGTAGAGTGGCAAGATCCCATCACAGAGAAGACAAAGAGAGGTACACGTAAAGCTAGTCTAAAAGTTGTTTTGGTATAATTTCGAGTAGCTTTGGCTTATACAACGAGGAATATTATATAGACAATAGATAGACTTTCAACAGATATGAAAGCTTAAAAACGAAAACCCAAAATTATAGAAAAAAATTATAGAATTAGAGCTTCTCTCCAGTGTAGAAAACAATGAAAGTGTTAGAAACCATTTCATACAATTTTTGTCACAAAACCTATTTCATTATTTTTTTTCTTGTTTACCTGAACAAACTGCAATGATCAATTCAAAATAACTATAATAAATTAATTAAATTGATATCATTAATTCATCACAAACCAGAATAAAGTGAAATTTAAAAGAAGTATTTTATTTCTAGCTCAAGCAATGCGATGTTATGAGTAGTATTAGTATTATCTAGTAAACTAAAAATGATTGAAGGGGGATTATTATTGGGGGATGGATGGTTTTGAGTGCTTGCTTTGTAATTACTTTTAACATTGTGCCTTAGCTGCTTCCAAACGTGATAGTTCCTAGTTTGTTTAATTTTGTCAATGAAGAATGGCACTTGCAGAAAACTTCCCATTGACAGAATAAAGGCACCACAGAAGCTGGGGACACTAAAAGACATCTCTCTCTTTGGAAGCTTTGAGTTTCCTTCTTCCTCAAACAGCAAAGGACTTGTAGCCCGCTCACTTGCAGGCATTGGAAAGGAATTTAAAAAACTTAAAAAACTTAAAAAAAGAAACAACAGCAACTCAAAAGTATAGCCAATCATGCACGTCCTACTGCAGGGGCCACTGGTGCTGCTACATCTGAGGAAATCCGCCCTTCAAGAAACACCAGATACAAGACAAAGAGCAAGTCATGAGGTGTACAGTGTCCGTTTTCTTCAACATGAGATGGAGCAATAAAGGAAAACAGATTCTTCTGGGATTGTCAACACTGAAGGAACTGGGGGAGGGGGGGTTGGGCATTGAACAGACCTTCAGCTTCATTCACTTGCAGAACTTACATTTGAAAAGATTGAATAATAGAATATGGCCGGAAACACAACAGAGGATTCTTCCAATCGCAAGGTGACACTTTTTCATACGTTGCCATTAGAACACCACTACGTGAGAGATTTCAATCACGTACGCATTTGTCACACAACACGTGGTCAAAATGGTCGAAGTTCTCTACTTTTGGCCTCTTGTTTTTGAGTATCTTGAGCCAGAAGATCTTGTGAGTGTATCGTCTGTTTGTTTTGCCTGGTGGGGATTTGTATTTCAAGGAAGCAAATCAAATGCCAAAGCATTGAATCATTGCTAAGAAAAACACTTAGCCAACACAGGAATGCAAAATCGAAATGTTCCACTACGTTATTTCCCAGAGTTAACGTGGATTAACCTAACAAGAACCATGATCTTGTCAGATGATTACCTTAAACTTGTTGGTACAGCTTAACATCTGTACATGCTTAACATTGAAAGCTGCAGCAATATATCTGAAGAAGCGATATTCAAAGCTTAATGGTCCCTTCCCTGTTTGAGGAGCATAAACATTTCTTGCAACAATCAGTTGAGCGTTCTTGCCGTGGCTTGTTTGTGCTCCTGTACTTCTTAACACAATGTCTGTGCGATAGGAATAAGGCTGCAGACAAAAGAATTCCTAATCTAATTAGCAGTTGAACAGCTCAACTCCCCAATGGTTCTTTGTGCCACTGGCCTATTGTTTTCACTTTCTGTCTTAGCCGAAGTACCATAAGGGGTTAGGGTGGTGCGTGTATGATGTCAAGTTCCGACAGAAGGCCGCTGCAAACAAGTCCCTAAAATTGTCCACCACTGACAGCCAATTATGACTCAAAACCTTCTGTTGCCCCATCACTCCTGAAGCAAGACCTTGGGGTTTTCCAATCTTGACCCTTGCCTCACTGCCAAACACTTCTAGGGGAACTGAAACCATAATTGCAACAACTATAAAATGGGGGTTGCCTGTGCCAGAACCCCTTGAATCTATGCCCACAAATGTAACAGGTCCTGGTGTGGGAAGGATCACCAGTGATCAAGTGCCCACTTGAAAAGAAGAAAAGAAAATACTCCTCCACAAGAATGGAAAAGTCCTTCTCCCAGCACCAGCCACTAAGACAAGTAGCTTTGAGGGCGTGGTTAGTCTTGTAAATGTAGATACTTTATATGAGGCCTTATCCAATCATCCAGTAAAGGAATTTGTTGACAAATTGCGCCTAAAACAGAGGGAGGGGCCAGGATTGGGTACATCCCCTTTTTTCAAATAACTTACCTACTGCCTACTTAAATCCTATGGCTGTTATGAGGAATTCAGCTGATAAGGTTTCCAAAGGGCATACCATGGGACTTGCATGTTGTGAAAAACACTGTCTCGGGCACTTACTCTCTCATTTGGACCACTGAGAATGACCTGCAGCGGTTTTTAAAAGAATTTAACAAAGAAACGAAAAATCATTCAAAAGGAAGTTTGTTACACCGTCAGGGGCATCAGTTGGAATAGTGCATCCCAGAGATATTGCGTCCATTTCTAGTCAACAGGGAAATTCCTTTCTCAGAGTCCCAGAAGGGATTGTGCTTGAAAATCTAGAAGTTCTAGATGCACTACTATATGAAATCGCGATTTATGAGATAAGCCAATGGACGACAAACGAACCTCCCTCAAAACAAGAGTTTGAGGAAACTCAATCTTGAGTAAATATCTCCCTCATCACTTTAAGTCATTGCCATTGATAATACCCAATACACTGTGATTTGGGAGTGGGACTGTTTTAACTATAACAGTGAACAATCCACATACAGTGCAATTGCAACGGATAAGCACTTAGTTCAAAACGTTTGTCAGTGGGATATTGCTGATGACGAAGAGAAGGAAGAGGAAGATTTTATTGTTCATACTCTTCCTTTTAAAGTACTGGCTGTTGTGTACAAAAGTGAGAGACAGAACCACCTAAAGGCAGCTTGCATAAAAATGAAAGATGATCCGAAATTTGTTGTTAAAGCCACGATTGAACCAGATCCTGACAATGACTTTGATGCAAATGCTATTCGTGTTTTGATAGACTATGGAACAGGATTTAAGCATGTTGGCTTTATAGCAGAAGAGCTAACAAAATATGCCCATCACGTAACGCGTTGAGGAAAATTGGCACGGTATGCCACAAACATCCCTGGATCAGCCCTACGTGAAATCACTACTCGATCTAAGCATCCAATTCCTGATTGAGATGGCTCATTGAAGCTTGGCAAAGCTTTCAAATGAAAACGCTCATGGATGCCAGTCCAGCAATAAAAGGGGATATCAGGATCGATCCATTTGCTGAAGTCATTCATTATTTTTGGGAATTCATGCTTAAATGCCTTGAGATAAAATATTGGTCCAAGCAACCCATGGAAAAAGGTGATCATTCCTTCAACGTCGTCAGTGGTACTTGCCCTTGGGTTTTCAGGGGCAAACCTCCTGCCTCACCCTCTGATCATCTCAGCTCTCTGCTTTCAACAACATCACAATAGGCTCACAACATGAACTTGGCTAACGGAAATGTATCTTTTCTAGGCATTGGCGGTGGAACCATCTCTAAAATGCTGTCATTTGATTTCGACAAAATTAAGGCTTTTCAGCCAAAGGTTATCATTTTAGAACTGGGAACTAATGATTTGTGTGTAGTGGGGTAGTGCCCCCAATCTGTTGGTTCAGATATTGAACATTTAGTTCAAGTCCTCCAGGATCACTGTGGAGCAGAGTTTATAATGGTATGCCTAGTAATTTACCAGTCTGCTATTCGTCCACACGTCCCCGATTTCAGCCACGGAGTAGACCTTCTCAATAAATATCTAAAAGTGGTCCTCGAACCACACTCCCTTACGCTGAAGCGTGGAGCCATAGAAGGCTTCCAAGTCCATCTATTGCTGTTTTATGCTGATGGCATTTATTTGAATGAAAAGGGCAACTATGCTCTTTATCGTAGCTATAGGGTAGCCATACTATTGGCCTTGAAGAGGTTAGCCACTTTTTCTGAGGCTCAGTGACAGATTCCAACTTGTCTATCCAGTCATGCATTTTACTCTCATTGTACCCGTCCTTTATCACGGACATGAGAGCTTTATCTTTTGTTATAAGATATTGTATCTATTTTACGGCCCGCTTTCTCTTTCTTTTTTCCTTTCCACCCCCTTCCAAGTTTATCGTCATTCCCCAGGCTACAAAAATCACAAGGACAATTCGAATTTTGACCTGACCTGACCTGCACCTCTTTCAACCATTCATCTGCATCGACTTCGAAAACAGTCACCAACACATCATCCTCGAACCTACGTGCCATCTTTATACAGCAACAAAGAAAAAAACTTTTTCAAACATTCGCAACGTCTCAGTGTCAAGATGGCGATGAAGTTTTAAAATGCCTTGAATGAAGATGTCAGGGCACAAAAAGACGCTTTAGAAAACCTGAACACACAAGAGAACATCAAGAAAGATTCTTACAGGTATTTTGCCGAAAAAGTCTGAGAAATTCTGAACTTTATAAGCCAAATTTAAGGTCTAAACATTTGAGAGAGTGGAGTTCTCGATGGATACGATCCAGGATAAACATGTCAAAAATCCAAGATTGCTAACGTAATTCGTCACCCATGATATTAATAGGTAATCAAATGGTATACTCGTGAAATTAGGGAATAATTTCACTTGCGTTTTGTCCAAACCCTAATAATTCCCCCCCCCCTTAAAGGCTCGGGAAATTATTAGGATTTGGACAAAATGCATGTGAAATTATTCCCTAATTTCACCTGTTACCATTTGATTTCACATACAAACACCATAAGCATGACAAAGACATATTGCGTAACACAACAAACAAACTAAGAGTTTTCCCGCCGATTTACACCACACGCCCATTTACACCACATGGTAATGATGACTCCACAAACCAGGATGACCAAATACGACTGGGTATGTCTCATTTACGAAATTCGATGGAAATGTGAAGAGGAAAAATATTTCAACGAAAACTACAATCAAGACTTCCCGTTGATGAAAAACTTGTCGGACTGGTTGTGCGATTTAACATCAACCAACATAGAGACGGTGACGGTGTAACAACAGTGGAGCGTGAATGGTACATATTCCACAGAATGCCTGGTCATATCGTCATATTTTTGGATCTCTTTTCCGAAGATTTATTAAAAAGGATACAATACACTTTTCAGGAGCCGGAAAACTGGAAAAACAAACTGTTATGACGTACAAACTGGAAGGAAACAAGGATAACTTTGTACGACGAACAAGTTATAAAGAGACAAGAACTGGATGCGCAAGGATTGTACTCAAAGACACATGTAAAGACCCATTAACTCTTGCAAAAAACTGTTTTTAACATTGTAAAACACAATCATACAAGTTAAGATTCGATTAATTTGTAACTTTATTTACAGTAAACATGGATCGCAGAATCATGGCTGTTCAGGGCTTTTTTTATCGATTAGTTAACAAGCCAATTATAAAATAATATAAGGAACATGTGACCAATATCGATTTAGTGACGTCAACACACCCCCATAACCTCATTATATATGACTTTATTCACAATTTATACCCACTACACCGCACTACACCGCCGGCCATAACCTACCTCATTCTACATTCATTATTCATGCCCAAGTGGTTGCCTCTACAGTGCCCAGATAATCGACCTCATTATATATTCATTTATTTAACCCCAAGCAGTTGCTATACTACTCTGTCATAACACGCCCTACCCTGTGCCCTACGTGACCGGTATGTTATTTCTTTGAAGTCAGAACGCGGTGGTGCGCACGCATATCTCACGTGACTCCCTTTTTCCAGACCGGTGACTCATAGAATCTCAATCAAACTTCCAACTTACAGGTAAGTCTCATTTATTTCTCAATTATCAGGTAATATGGGGTAGTCATTGGCAAGATGGGAGTGCTGCTTCCTCTGGTGAAGAAGTGGAGCAGATAAACTCTCATACGTCACGATGTGGAAACACTACTAAGTACATGCTTCCTGAAAGTAAGTGTTTTGCCACCCATGGTTTATTATTTGCAAATTCAATCATTCCAGACAGGCAGCAGTTTAAAAATGAATTGTGTTTCAGACTTCTTCACAAGTTTCTCACCTGGCACAATTTGTCCAATGTTTTAAGGTTCACGTTGTATGTGATCATTTTTTTTATTATTATTATAATTTTGATCTCTTGTTGCCGTCTTAGTTGTCCAGCCACAAGCTCCCTATTAATGCATAAACATGTAAGGAACTTGAGGGACTTCTTCATAACAGGGTGTCCTTTCTTTTAGTTAATGCTAGACTAATCGAGAGTAAGCTTTCAAGGAGAAAGCTGTGCTAGCTAAAACTCCGTCCACTTCCAATCGATATTATTCATACATTTTAAATTTGCCTTTGAGCACTTTACTATTTTACGAACTGTGTACATAGTCAATGTATCCTGTAAGATATAGCAACTTTTACAGACAGAGAAGAGTTTATTACTGAGCATGCTATAAAATGGAATAAAAGAAAAATTCTTGGCATGGTACAGAGTCTTGCACAACATTACCTATGCGTGAGTATCTAATGAATATTTGTTGTTGGTGTTGTTGGTTTCTTCAGATCAAATTTGCCGTACTAAAATAAATTATAAATTGAAAAAACAGTTCAATCCTTTTACTTCCTAAGTGAGTTTTTCACGTCAGGGGTATATTTTTATTTAACTGTTCATCTTCTTAAAATTATGTTTAATAGTCTCAGTATGCTTAAAATAGCCTTGCTAATTTATTGCTGTTTGCCTGCCAATTTATATCTGATCATTTTCTGTCTCTTGAACACGTTAACTAAATAGCATCACAATTATCACAGTTCATGAATTTGCTGAAGATATGTTAGATTTGACTTGTTAAAATAGGCTGTTGACATGCAAAATGTATCGAGGCAGCAGTTTGATGATGCAAAAAATTCTTACCATGTACCGCTCAGTGAATTCCATGCAGATGAATGGAAAAAAGAGGTCACCAGCCATGCTCAGGGTAAGGAACCTTTTTTTATGATTATTTTCTGTGTGAACTCCTACTTTAAGTCGTACGTTATTTATTTAACATTTACTACCTGTTATTCAAGGGATATCAACATGTCAAAAACTTTAATGAAGATGTTTTCATTTGTAGAAGCAGAAATTTTGCAGGGTACTGCTGGTGTTTGCCTACAAGGCGATATAGAAATGTTGGTTTCCAACATAGAGCTTATATCACAGTCAATGAACAAATTGCATGGTATGTTGGTGTTTTTTTTTTTCTTTGGCTATTATTTACGTGTTTTTACATGCATAAAGAGAACTATCCGCATGCAATCAGTCTGTGAGGAATTTGTCTTAGTTTTGTAAAGGGAAATGATGGAAGTAATGTTCATTTATGTTTTATTTCAATTTGGTTGTACTGATTTGGGTAATCGTAGATGAATGGAAAATTTAGCTCAAAGGGATACCTTTCTTTAAGTGAGTTGTTTGTCATTTTTTTTAACTTTGTTTCTTTGTTGGTAATTTTTAATATCAAACGCAGATTCACCCAAGCACAGAACATGCTTCCCCAGTAAAATTACTGCTGAGAAGGCAAAACTTACTTCCCGTGTACAGAAGTACCATGAAGAAAGAGAGTGTGATGAGCATCCTTCGACATCTACTCAGTGTACTTTGTCCGAGATAATCAAAGGAAACTTCCCCTGGGGAAATAATGAACGTGGATCTATTGTTCTGCATAGATTTTCTTTTTTCAGTCCAGTCATGCTGATGTCCAATTTATAGTGCAAAACCTCTACCACTTACTCTACAATTAGATGAAAAAGACAATTTACAAACTCCAATTATTCCTATTATTATCCACGTTTGCTTCTTACTCAGCTGAAAATAACAGGTGATTGTGGGATCCTGTGCTACATTACTTCTGTTCACTCTGTAATGTGGCTATGCTGTGCTGGCGAGGTCCAAAAAGGCCAAAACAGCAAACGCCACATCATCCTTATAAAGTAAACGTTTCCTTTTGTCATTTCTTTGTAATAATAAGAAATGGTAAATGGCATTCGCAAGTTTTTGTTTGAATTTTGTCACCTTTATTTTAGATACACTAATCCACATAAGAAGGATGATTGTTGAAAAGCATGAGATCATTAAGAGGTGGGAACTTCATTTCGTGGTACATGGATGTCGAAATTCCACGACTCAAAAAGGTCGCAGAGGGGATGCAAGCGAAAATTGATGATTAATGACAATTTATTTCCTTATATGTTGTTTTTTGAACCATTTTATTTGAAATCAGGAGATATTTTCTATTTTTCTGTCTCCGTATCCTTTTCTCTTAAGGGGGTATGTACCTCAACAAAACATGAAAATTGCGTATGTTCATCGAAAATTTTTTTCCTTACATTTGAAATCTTTCATGCTTTATCTTCATATATGGAAAGGTTTTTGTTGCACTAACTGCTGGAAAGGCAATATATTAGCTGAAAGCACACTGCCAGTTCATTGCCATGGAAACAGGTTTGTTAACGCATCGCTTTTTGCGTCGAAAAACAGGGAAAATATCGCAATCTTCTCCCAATTCTTCCTGCCACTTTTCCCATGGGAGATTGGTACTAAGCCTGAGCCTCTGACCTCGTTTTCGTGTCATTGGAACAAAAATATTGCTGCCATTTTGACTTTGTAATCTCCCACTTCGATCTGTTTTCACTCGCTACATTAAGCCAAAAGCTGAATTTGTTCCTCAAAGACGAAAGAAACAAAAATTTTATGGGAATAGGTTTACATAGATAGAAAGATAGATAGATAGTTTATTAATAACCGATTTGCAACTAAAAGTTGAATTATACGATTATTTACAAAACATTGAATATTGATAATTACATTACAAAGACTACAAGTGATTTAAAACAGCAAATAAGGACACTATACCGGGGTATATATGTTCTAAAAAAATATATAGGAGAGGTTTAACAATCTACTAAAACCGTTCAAGCCTTAAGAGCGTTAAAGGTAATAAAACTACTACGAAACCTGTTCGTCTTAAAAGCTGGCTTAAACTTCCGCATATTTCTTAGGTTAAAGTACATGTGTTGCGAGCAGGAAGAAATTCATGGAGCTTGTTCTGTTCGTTCTGTAAAACATTCTTAAATAGTTTATCAACTAGTTCCTGGCGGCGGTTTGAAAGTTTAGTTAGGCCTGATTCAACCAAGGCCTCCTTGTATGAGCAAAGAGGAAAAAATAGAAGAAAGGACAACGTCGCAGGCAGTTTAGATGAAGAAAACAGTTCTGCTTGCCTCAAAGATGAAATCAACTCGTCAAGTACTCAAGTTGACCATAAGGCTCAGGAAACATTGTCTGCATCGTACTGCAAGCTAAAATCGGTGACAGAAGGAAATAATCCAGTTGATAAACCAAAGGAAACATCTACTGCCAACAGCGATTCAACGATCACGGGGTTCAGGCTCTTTGACATGGAAGTTCTGTGAAATGTGCTCTCGTTATTGAGGTGTTATGAGCGTGGTGAAATGGATGTTTTGTTTATGCAAGATGAACTTAACAGAAAGGGCTGTGCCTCGAGTTTGCGTTAGTTTGAAAACTGTGGCTGGAAATATTCATTTTATACCTCAAAGCAACAAGGAAAAAGCTTCGAAGTAAACAGACACCTTGTTTACAGCATGAGAACCCTTGGAAAGGGGCATACCAGTGCCAAAAAGTTTTGTACGCTAATAAACATGCCTCACCCTCCGGCTGCCAAAAACTATACCAAGATTTCAAGCGTGATCACAACTTGCATGAGGTCAATGGCAAAGGATAGTATGAGCCAGGCAGCCGAGGAGGTAAGAAATCTAAAGGGACAAAATGACTGTAATGAAACTGAAACAGTCGATTGTGGTATCTCTTGTGATGGTACATGGCAGAAACGAGGCTTTTCACCAAGAAATGGCTGTGTAACTGCCATCTGTGTTGATACAGGGAAAGTGCTTGATGTTGAGGCTCTCAGCCAGGCATGTAAGTAGTGTGAGCTGCATGAACGTTTAGACAAGAACAATGAGGAATACCAGAGATGGCCAGCTGACCACAATGTATGCAAAGCAAATTTCAAAGGTTCTGCTCCTGCCATGGAACCTGAAGGTTCAAACCGTAATTATTCAGCTGGTCTGTTGAACTGAATAACATGCCGTATACAGAATCTTATGGAGATGGTGACAGCAAAAGTTTTAGCAGGGTTCAGGATGTCTATCAAGATTCTGGAATTACTGTTGAAAAGAAAGTGTGCATCGGTCATGTGCAAAAAAGGTTTGGCACAGCACTTCGCAAGTTGAAGCGCGAAAACCCAGGCCTGGGAGGAAAAGGCAAGCTAACTGATGGAACAATTGACAAGCTTCAAAATTACTATGGAATAGCCATTCGGGCTAACGTGGGAAATTTGGCAGGAATGAAGAAAGCCATCCATGCAACTCTTACGCACTGTGCTTCAAGTGAGTCCCGCCCACTTCATGATCACTGCCCTGCTGGCAGCACAAGTTGGTGCAAGTATCAGAAAGACAAAGCAAACAGGACAAAGCTTTATAAACATGGACCTGGACTCCCTTTGGAACTTATTGCAAAGCTTAAACCAGAATATGCAAGACTAAGTGACGACAGCCTGTTCAAAAAATGTTTACATGGAAAAACACAAAACCAGAATGAGGCACTGAACGGTATGATATGACAATGTGTCTCCAAGGAAGTGTATGTTGGGCGTGAAATTCTCGAAATGGGTCTGTATGATGCTGTTGCATACTTCAATATTCTGCCGTTTTAAAGCTTTTTGATGCTCTGGGCATTCCCCCAGGAAAGTTCACAGAAACTGGCTGCAGACAAATGGATCATGGACGTGTTCTCATGGCTCAGAGAAAGAGCCACAGTCACTCCTTCCAAGTTGTATGCTGATTTTAAATTTAATATTAATTAACTATTTATTATCTTTTCTATTCTACTTGTAATTTATTCTGTGCGGCAAAATAATAAAAATAAAACTAAATAAAATAAAAAATAAAGCATCTGTGGAATCAGATGTACGCATTATGAGGGCATATCATGTCTGTAATTCCACTAGTAACGGGCTTTTTCGTTCGTTAAGTTGAATGTGACGCTAAGAGCACGTTAGTTCATTTGTCATTATCAATGAATTAGTAAGGTGTAAATTTCCGTTCTGTCAGTAACTTGGAAAAACTTGGTACTGCAGCAATTGTGGCATTTAGAAAAAAAAGNAACGTGGGAAATTTGGCAGGAATGAAGAAAGCCATCCATGCAAGTCTTACGCACTGTGCTTCAAGTGAGTCCCGCCCACTTCATGATCACTGCCCTGCTGGCAGCACAAGTTGGTGCAAGTATCAGAAAGACAAAGCAAACAGGACAAAGCTTTATAAACATGGACCTGGACTCCCTTTGGAACTTATTGCAAAGCTTAAACCAGAATATGCAAGACTAAGTAACGACAGCCTGTTCAAAAAATGTTTACATGGAGAAACACAAAACCAGAATGAGGCACTGAACGGTATGATATGACAATGTGTCTCCAAGGAAGTGTATGTTGGGCGTGAAATTCTCGAAATGGGTCTGTATGATGCTGTTGCATACTTCAATATTCTGCCGTTTTAAAGCTTTTTGATGCTCTGGGCATTCCCCCAGGAAAGTTCACAGAAACTGGCTGCAGACAAATGGATCATGGACGTGTTCTCATGGCTCAGAGAAAGAGCCACAGTCACTCCTTCCAAGTTGTATGCTGATTTTAAATTTAATATTAATTAACTATTTATTATCTTTTCTATTCTACTTGTAATTTATTCTGTGTGGCAAAATAATAAAAATAAAACTAAATAAAATATAAAATAAAGCATCTGTGGAATCAGATGTACGCATTATGAGGGCATACCATGTCTGTAATTCCACTAGTAACGGGCTTTTTCGTTGAATGTGACGCTAAGAGCACGTTAGTTCATTTGTCATTATCAATGAATTAGTAAGGTGTAAATTTCCGTTCTGTCAGTAACTTGGAAAAACTTGGTACTGCAGCAATTGTGGCATTTAGAAAAAAAAGCAAAATCATTGAATGACAATACCCTCCAGCACACTACAAAAAGTCGCGACTAAACTTCCATCCCCCCTTCCTCCATGCCAGCTGATTGAACAGAAACGTGCATGGGGTTGTCTTTCCAGCCAGTTCGATTGTAAACAAGCAAAGAAAACGTAGACGTCTCTGGTGAAATACGAATTGGGGGAAGCGTATATTTTTCTTACAGTGTTTTATAAACATTTTTATTACTAAACCATTTTCCTTTCTTGCAAGCTGTTTTTTTATACTCTTTTTACCTAGGCAATGATTGGCCAGTACAACACAGAAGCTGGCAAGATCACAGTTATCAGTGGAAAATTGGCCTGTGCTAAAAAACGGATCGCTTTATGCCACAGCCAACTAACTAGTGCTGCCTCAAAATTTAAAGTGGCTTTAATTGATAGTAGCTGCAAGGAATCACGAAAGATAATGGATATAGAAGGCGACTCCGTCGACAATGCTAATGAAGATGGGAGCGATGATGATAGCGAGAACGAATAATCGCCATTGGTTCCTGACAATGTGCCTGATGAAACCGACAAAATAGACGTCACCAGGGAAAACATCCTGCAAAGCAACATGGTTCTATTCTCACTGGGGCCGTCACGAACAAACGCCCCCCTATGCCCATTGGACCCGTGCTTTTTAACTCCCACACTTCTCTGGTTCCTCTGGGGAACCCGTTGTGCGTATGTTTGTTAGTTCAGTATAAATTGGCCTGTTTTGTGCTGTTTATTCCTCTCTTCGTTAATACAGACACCAGACACCTCGGTGGTCATTTTCTCCTTCACCAACGCTGCACCTCATGTTTCTCCTCACTTCATTTTTCTACTTTATGGATCAGGTTCCGGAAAACCCAGAAGCCAGCGCTAAGGCAGCGGCTGTACCGGCTGAAGACAACAATGTAGCGAATGATCCTGCTCCTCCAAATAAAGCTGTATCTGTATCCCATGAGGTTAGTTTCTTGCTTTTTATGTTTGCTAGCGTTCCCGGTTTTGTCCCTGCTTGCACTTTATCAGGTTTGTACTCTTATTACACCATTACCTTTTTTTCGGTTTTAGTGTGTGTGCCAAATGTCCGTCGGTGTAGAGGATATATCACAAGTTTACGTCTGCGTGATGAGGATTTCTTCCCAGTGCATTTTCTCCGCGCAAGTGTGACATATTAGCCTTTATACTGTGTGGAGTTTTGATTTTCATCTGTGTGACTTATGATCTCGCGTTGCTCTTTGATTTTCCAGCCTGTGTGGTGAATCTGTTTTCTATTCCTGTGCATTTATTAGTCACACTGCAGCCATAAAAAAAACACCCACCCACCTCGAAATGACCCATCTCATTTCGTCCAATCACAAACTCTACATAGCGACCCTAGGCTACAGGCAACCAAAGTAGCAGTGTAACCTTTAGTTGCATCTTTTCCCATCTGTCTCGCGATAAAATGGTATGTGCTCCCCTCGTAGACCTGTCTTATGGATCCGCTTCTGAGCATGAGGAATATGAAGGGGAACAAGAGTATCCCCTCCAAGGCCAAGCAGCCTCCACTGAGCAAGGTGCTCCTTGCACTGAAGATGCCAGTCAGTCGCGTGATGACAACGATCACTCCAAGCACCAGCACCACGAAGACTAAGGACAAACTGCCACCGCGCAATATGCACCAGTAACAGATCGTGTTGCCAGTGTCCATGGGCAGGACATGAACTTGATGCCAGAGCTGCCTACCAGATGGAAACGACCGGCCTACGCTCTAAGTCTGGGAGATGTGCCTCCAGGACTTTGGGTTCTTCTCGATGGAGTGGCGAACTTTTTCACCAGGACTGTGAACCTTGAACAACAAAGCCAAGCTGTCGCTCAATCCACCTTTCTAAAAGCTCGTGAACGGATGTTGTGTAAGTGTATAAATAGAGGATGACGCTTCTCGGAGTTAGGTATGTATGTAACCTTCGCGACCCCACGTACGACCTGACTATTTCTGTTTGTTCATCGCAGGTTACCTAGGTTTCCCGAAAAGATACCTTGGAATGGAACTCCAGCCGGAGGTTTTCCTATGCGTCCGACTCATGGAGCAGTATTTTAACTTTCTCAGGGTGAGTGGAAGTTTCTTTTCACCTCACCATAAGGTAAAGGTGTGAGTTATCGCGCAATGAGCCCACACAAAGTCGACCTGCTGGTTACCACTCAAACAGATAAAAGCGGCAGCCATGACCATCAGGATGGCTATTTATTTCTTGCTCTTGTTTAAGGGTTTGCAGCTTTTTACGAGGATGTGATTTAAGAAAACCATCTTGGCAGAAATCTTGAGAAGCTCATGCATACAGTGAGCGTGAAGTTTGTTTGTTTGGTTTGTTGCTTTCAGCTCGATTTGACACAGGTCAGTCAGCATCAATGGTTTTTGCAAAAGTATTTTTGCCACTAGTGACTACGCATTTGTTGGCCATTCTAGGCTCCAGAGTTATCAAAACAGGATAAATGCAACTGTCCCTTTTCATTTACAGTCACTTTTCCTAAACTCCTAACCTAAGAAATGACCAGGAATCAATTTAATTTAATTTCAATTCAAGTTATAAAATATTAAAACCAATGATGAACTAACAATAATTTAGCACAAGCATTTACAATTTTATCTATTCTTACCAAAGAATTTGGCTTTCAAAACCGTGACAAGGTCCGTCTGCATAAATGATAGGTTTAATAGCTAAAAGTAACCCCGCCTCAATTACATAAAATGAGGAAATCTGTTAGGTAATTTCTTAATCTGTTTTAATGAGGAGTGTTCTGCTGTACTGTATTGAATTGTAGGATGGGTGACAGTGTGGTGCAGCAACAATTTCAAACCACGTGAGCTCACTGTTTTATCAGGTGAAGTTTTTGCATAGAGAGCATGGCCCCGAATTCAAGGATGTTCCAATGATCCGCCAACTGAGAGCCCAGGCTACAATACTACAGAAGGAAGGAGATAGAGAACAGCCGTCTTCGCGGGAAGAGTTGGAAGCTGAGAATCGGTGGCTTCCTTGGTGAGTTTGCACTGAGCTTATCTCATGTTTTCTCTTAGCAAGTATTTCTTTGGTGGGAAGTTAAACCGGATATGATGGTCAGGGCTTTCTGTGAAACTCTTTAAAAATCTTGAGATCAGCTGCTTTTACGAAAATCTAGACACGCTGGGAATGGGAGAGGAAGACACTTTACCCTTTTAAGCCCTAGGAGTGATCAGCAGCACATTTCTCCTTGTTAATATCAATGCTTCAGAGTAAGAGAAAAAGCTTCTTGTTCACTTCTTAAGATGGAATCCATCAGGACCGGGTTGTTCAAAGCCAGGTTAAGATAACCCAGGGTTAGTATGAAATTTGAATGTTAAATGTTAAAGCTTAAAAGGCAAATTCAATTCTTTTTGTCTAGAATTTGATTATTCGCTACTCTAAAAAGAATAAAGAAATTTTTCGGAGAAACTGCTTTTGATGAAAAGAAAAAGAGACCCGGGTTAAAATTTAACCCTGGGTTAGCGCTAACTGGCCTTCAAACAACCAGGCCTAGGAAATTGAGTAATTTCAATTTATATCCCTTGAAAAATGTGAAGAAGAATGCAATATAATTAAAATTATTTTGGTACAAGGTTTTTGTACACTGAATTTTAAAACTACTCAATTTACTGGTGGATTCCGTCTTAATTTGGTTGTCCGAAACCCAAGGGCTAATGTCCAAAAGGTTTTGCTCCAAACTCGAAACTCAAAAACAATCGGGTACATATTTTTCTGTTTACTAGCTCGTACAAAACAAATGACATGGCTGTGCAATGGTGAAGTTTTTAAGGTGATATTTAACCTTATTTTGTCAAGCAAGAGGTTTGCTTTTTTGACTAAAAGATGAATTTTAATTCTACTGTAATTTGAAGTCAATTTTCAACTATTTCTGTATTTTTAGAAATAAAAAATGTGACTCTCCAAGGGAAAACCGGGCTTATGAGTTTTCATGGTGAGGCTTAATTCACGCTAACAACCGTGAAATGCAGCAAAATGATTGGAATCTTTGGAAATTCCTCTGAATCGGTGTGAACACGGCGTGAAAATAAATCACTCTATTGTGAAATAAACCACGGCATGAATATAATTTTTCCCGCCGTGTAAAGCTTCTGCGGGCCGTGAAAAACTTCACACCGTGAAATATGTCACTCCGTGAAAAAACTAAAATCACGTCGTGAAAATACCCGTCAACTTTACTAGAAAACATTGATTTCTTTCTTATCAGACCGTCGATAACTTAATCACTACCAAATTTTTGCAATGCAGAATTGAGTCTTTTGTTACGTGTTATAAGAAACGGCTTAAAAAAATGAAGTGCAAGCATGAAAAAAATCGGTAGTAGTTGGCCTTAGGTTTTTTCATAACTAATTATTGGCAGTATTAACAGAATACAATAATTTGTGCCATGCAGCATTTTAAGTTGTTAAGCTAATTTTGTCTCTACGACTATTTTACTACCGCTTCTGAACAATGGAATTTTGTTTGCTTTCTGTAGGCCATTTGAAAAAATTATTCGCCCTTGTTATACTTTAGAAATAAAAGAATACAGCTGCTTTAGTCGTTGTCTGAAATACTGTGTCGAAATGAATGACCACAGCTGGTCACTCCGTAGTCTGTGCATGCCATGAAAGCGATGCAAAATACCCACAATTTAGTATGTCGAAGACAAGTATTTTTTGAGATCACGCAGCAGGTCACGTATTAAAAAAAAAAGTCACATTCGTGTGAATTTTCTCAGTCTTGGCAAAGAAATGTTAAGCGAAAAATGTTTAAAATTAATGTTAAGCTGTTCAAAAGAGAATCAGTCGTCTTTGTACCCAAAGTAAAATCCAGAAGTTTTCATCCAGATGTTTTCATTATCTTCTGGCCGCTATATTGATTTGTCATGGATGTACATAAGATGAGTGATCACTGCTGACGGTACGAATTAATATTTTATGACGAAAAACTGAAGTTCCACTCACCATGCTAAAGAAAGATGACCAATGAGTTATCTTCTATAACCTCACAATTTCTCAACTCAATTCACTCAATTTGTATATTGCATGAGAGTGACTGAAGACCGAAGCTGGTTTACTTCTGGTCGTGCATGAAAACATTTGCATGTACAAGGATGGGCATTTTTTTTTATTTATTACTGTTCATCTTTTCATGCTCAATCGCGTGACTTTCCCTCAGTTGCTATTTTCGTCAAGTGAGGTTCAAAATACAATAAAACCTGGTCTTCACACTTACTCTTAATCGGTTCAATTTTAAATCTCTGATAATTTGCGCAAATATGGATAGACGTTTTCTTGATGCCTGTGGTTTGGAGACGCACGACAGCCTTTCCAACGAATTAGACACAATTCGAAGTGAATATTTTGGTCTGGACCTTAATAATAGCAGTGACAGCGAAGGACCTGATGTCACGGCCGATGAGACTTCAGGTCTAAGTATAGCAGGTTCTTCGACTCAAGGGAATGATAGAGTTACCCCGGTCCTCGGTCAAAGTTCCACAAATGATGATGATTTCATCACCCCAGTGCGGTCATTACTAGAGACTGGATGCGGTTGTCGATATGGCAAAAATCAAAGCCCGTGCATTCAATCTTTTAGTTTGGAAGAGCATTACGGAATCGCGCCTGTAGATACGCGTCGCTAGTAAATGCACATTTTTCTGTCAATCAAATGTGTCCTATTATTTGTAGGTGGAAATTGGTAAAACATCGTTATTGTTTTGGAGACAATAGAAGAACAAAAGATAACAGGAAGATCAAGTTATGCGGTCTTAAAGCGTGTTGCGTGACTTAAATCAGTTGGAGCATTTCTCCTAGCTTTCCCGCATTAAAACGTTGGAATGAAAAGTCTGAAGCTTAGCTTTTAAAATCTTGATAGCCAAAATAAAAGGGGTGCCCCAAAAGGCAAGCATTTGGGAATTCAAAATCGATATTTTTGTCTCCAGCGAAATCCGGCGGATGAACAGTAATTTGCATATAAGCGTAAGTGAAGCGAAATAGATACAAATTGCCGTGGTTGTAAACACAACGTTTCCTCGAAGTTTTTTTCCTTTTGAAAGCGTAAATTCGCATGAAAGAGCTCAGCTTGCACAAAATAATATAAAATGAAACGAATCAAATCGAAAAGTGGTTAAAAAAAGTCAGGATATTTCAATTCGATGGAAAGTAAGTGATTGGGTAGGTGATTTGCATACTGATAAAAATAACGTCTAGCGCAGTTCAAAACCGTTCGGCTTCCTGAATTGTTTTTCTGGAATTCTATACATTCTGCTGGCCTAAATCGTTAAAATATGTTATGAAGTCAAAATATTTATCAAGTTGAGTGTTTGCATTTCCTTATAAAACAGAGAGTAGCGCAAAAGCTTGGATCTATAGGTTTTCTTAAGTTAAATTACCTTTGTATCGTGGAAACAATACCCTAACACTTGAGTCTTGAATCAAAGAACGCGACATGCGTCGGCTCCCTTTGTGAGCACGCAAATAGTCATGGGACCCGCGATTTTGCGGGCGATACGAATCTACAGGCGCCGTTCAGTAATGGCTAGCTCAGCATCGACTGAATTGCATTGAACTTTCTTCCACAGAACTTGATCTGGTCGTTCTAGGCGCATTGCAGAGCCATATGAATTTCTCACTTGCAAACAAACACCAAAAAATGAATTACTTTTTTCGCGGAGTTCAAGTTTGCAAGACAACATTTCTTTTTGTTTACTCCATTGGGAAATGTCGACTTGATAATCTAAAGACCCACTTGAACAATCATGGAGCGGTTCCGAGGACGCATGGTAACACTTCGAGGTTACCAAAAAACACACTCGAACATGAGGATTTAGATCGAACAGTGACATTTATTAAAAACTTTGCTACTGATCAGGGAGTTTCCTTACCAGGTAGAGCTCCTAACTTTAAGAACTTGAAGGTGCAACTGCTCCCATCATCTGAGAGCACGGCATCTGTGTGGCGCCAGTATAAAAAGGCCTCAGAAGAGAAAAACGTAAGTGCGGTAAGCTACTCGAAGTTTGTTGATCTCTCGAACACTTTAACACTGTATATTGTAATAGTGACTCCAGCTACTGACCTTTGTGGTCTTTGCCAACTTAGATAACCAATACTATCAATGTGACTGAGCAAGAGAAAATGGATTGTCTTCGTGACCAAGAGAGGCATTTGAACCAAGCGAAAGCTGAACGCGAATTTATGAAAACAAACATTGCGAAGTGCAAGGAGTTATTGAAAGGCAGTGGGGTAGATCTCTTAAGACCTAGGACTAGGTGTTCTTTAAAGGGCTCTGTGCATTATTCTTATGACTATGCACAGCAAGTCCATATCCCTTCTAATCCTCAGCAACCAGGCCCATTATATTTAAAACCTCCTCGAAAATGTGGCCTTTTTGGAGTGTTTTGCGAAGGGATTCCCAGACAAGTGAACTATCTTATCGATGAAGCAGTTTATGTTGGAAAGGGTGCAAATTCCACCATGAGTTACCTACACGATTTTTTTGAGTCACATGGGGCTGGGGAAACAGATGTCCACATCAATGCTGATAATTGTGGGGGGCAAAACAAAAATTACTATGTAATCTGGTATTACTGTTGGCGAGTTCTTTGTCGAATGCACGATTCTATATTGTACTCATTTTTGATTGCGGGTCATACAAAGTTTAGTCCAGATTGGTGCTTTGGGTTGACGAAGCAGTCATTTAGACGATGCTTCGTTTCTTCTCTTTTTGACCTCATGGAGGTTGTAGATAAGTCGACATCAGTCAAGGGTGTCAACATCGCTAAACTGTGTGGACTCCATGATGGCACCGTTTTAGCGCCAGTGTATGATTGGGTGACATTTTTTGAACCGTATTTTAAGAAAATACCTGGAATAAGCAACTTTCACCATTTTCGCTTTCCTAAAGAGCACCCGGGCATGGTTTTCTGCCGAACACATGTTCACTCACCAGAAATCGAATTTCAAATTCTTAAGGACCCCGCAGTGAAATCTACGGCACACAATCTGCCTCGCGTAATCGTGCCAGTGGGCTTGAATGAGGAAAGAAAACGTTATTTGTACAGGGAAATAAGAAATTTCTGTCGCCCTGGGACAGAAAATTTGGTTGCACCCGCTCCGTAACAGATTAGACACTTTTGTAACCTTTGTCTTTTATATAATAAAGTTATTTTTCCTCAGTTTAAAGGTGTTTCTTCTTTCTATGTATTTGGGAGAACCGTGAAAATCAACTAAACATACGCTTTTACCACTTCTTTATTAGCTAACAATAAAAAAATTGTACCATGCGCTGTACCTTGCCATGGTGGGGAAAATTTGAAAGGGTCACGAACAAATAACTGTTGTGTGACCCACTGCAACAGAGAAACCTCAACAGGCACGTCTATTATTAATAATGATTCTGAATACTTAGAATTAAATGCTATTGTTTTCAAGTCTAGTTTGTTAAATAGAGTAAGCACCATGAAAAAATCCTCCGAGTGCACGCATTTATTTCAATTGTCATGTGGCCACACTGTTTTTAAAGTTCCATCCAACTACCACTACTAGCCTCTTGGGTTGTAAAAGCAAAACTGTGGAAGTGCTTCACGAGACACAGTTCCGTGCGGCAAGCCACACAAGGTGGAAATCCCGATGTCGGCGATATCTGGGTATAATTCTACAAGACGGGCAATATCCGCACTTCCTAGGGTAATTCCTTTCACACACATCGCATATATGCCATGTTTGTCAATAGCACAAAGCATTGCCTCGATACCAATCATACAATGAGCTATTCCAAGAAAACGCAGGGAGGGAAAGGACGCTTTTTCAATTCCGAAATTGGTCAATTTGTAACAGCTGGAGACATTCAGTATGCCCAACAAAGGAAACCTTTTAGTGATGAACTCCAGAAAACGGTCATCTATCAACGTCTCGCTTAAGTTCAGTTCCACAAAGTTCAATGCTTGAATCAGTGGAAGTTCGTGTGTTTTGCCCTTGATTCCAGCCATGTTCAAAATTTTCAGTTCGGCACAGTTATGGACAACGTGGCAAAATGTTTCCCATGTTGTTTTTGTGCAACACAAATCTATGCTGTGGAATAAACAAGGCCTCCATTTTACGGCTTGGAGGAAATTTTGCACTGTTTCTTCAGATGAACCCCTAGCAGTAATTTCTGAAAATTCCTCCTCCCCTGCATACCTGATTAAACTTTTGTCGTAAGAAATTTGGCACCAAGCCTTACACACTAAGGATGCTGTTGTCCGGAAAAATTTGTAAGGTAAGAAAGAGAAGACTTGAAGCAGAATACTCTGTGGCAAAATATCTATTCGGGAAGGCATATGTTAAGAAGCTTGTAGGTTGGGAAACTGCTCTCTAGGTGTTTCTTACGTGAAGTCGATTTGCAAGATTACTGCACTTTGGGCGATCTCTTCTTCTCCCTATTTTCTTTTAGAGGGAAAAATGTCCGCCAGGAAGATAAAACTACTCAGCGCAAGGCCGTGACACGTCTCTCACCATTCTCCCCTCATTTTTACCACTCACTTCAGCTAGCGTGCCCTGTTTACTGATATGAAGGGGAAATGACTGCTTGCGTGCATTGTACAAGTCAGGTCACTTTCGCACACGAGAGCTATGTTTCCCTTTTTATTTCAACGGCGTTATGCAATTAACCAACATTCAACGAACCAGGCATATCCCTGTTAAGATGACTTTCTTAAGCTCGATAATGTTTCTGTCTTCATGCATTGAAAAAGACCAATATCTTTATTTGCAGAGTATTGTTGCGTGCCTTGCCTCTATGACTAGAAATAATTATCCGAAATGTCACTCCGTAAGACAACTTTGCCATTATGTTGATCACGAAAAGTAACCCTGGATTTCTGACACGCGATCTCTTGAAAGGTTTTGTCACAAGGATCTTCAAACTATTTCAGTTTTGTTACGCAGCTGCAACTATCGATTTGCCCCGTGGTGTATTAGTTCATACCGTAACAATGGAAAAAAGCATGGTTCTTATCGAATGGTGGACGAAAGACAAATGGCATGGAAAGCAACAAAAAGTAAAGGGAAAAGACATCGATCCAACAGGAACACTGAACATTGGTCAGGCAATTCACGTGAAGTTCGGCCGAAAACGTCATGATGCTGTTGCTGCTGAGTCTTGGAAGGATAATGCAAGTAAGGATAATATTGCTGCTGTGAAATACTTTTAAAATTAGCTTTAAGAAAACTCGAACGTGCTTTAAAGGTGTCCATATATGTGAAATTGTCTTTTCGCGATAGGAATTGAGACAAATTGTTTTAAGTATTATACACGAGTCTAAAAAGGCTTCTTGTGGATCAGGGAACATAAGATAAAGCGTGAAAAAATGTCAATTTAAATTTGTATCCCAAATTACTCTAGGCAAGGAAACATTAACATCCAACCAAGCATCAGATGACTTAGAGGATGACCGTCCGTTAGTGACTCTCCTTAAATCAAATTCGAAGAAACCGGCTAGCCCAAAGAAAGTGGACTCCACAGAAAAAGACTTTTACAGCCGATAAGTCCTACAGAGAGATGCTGAGCTCACTCGAAAAAAACAGCAAAATGAAGAGAGCAGTGAAAAGTCTCTGCCAAAAGAAAACAAGAAGGTCGTGGTAGAAGTTGATGGTGGAAAAAAGGAGGCAGGCGTGACAAACCCCAGCGTCGGCCACGGAATACAGACCACAAAGAAGAGGAAGCACGAAATTTTTGTGTTGAACGAAAAGGCCGCAACCCCTGAAGAACACCAGAGTGCCGTGTCTGAGAAAGAAGAAACCAAGCTCGAAAGGCAAGGATGCGCCAACCACGCAGATCCAGAGCCTAAGCATGCAAAGCCGTCAACAACAGAGCCTGAGCACCAGCTACAGATAAACAATGATGACCACGAGGACCTAGGAGTTGTTAATTTTTGGGAAGATGGCATCGTTGACCTTCCAGACATGGGACAAATTTCTGAGGTAGTATCTAGCTGTCTTCTGAAAAGCAAATTTTGGAACATTCTTGCTTCATATTTTGCTTGCTTGTCAGTTAAATAGTCAAAACTCTTTCACGCCACACGATAGTTACTTAAATAATCGTTTCCTTTCCATCACAAGGAGAAAGTATCAATTTCTGATTGTACCATTTTACTGGATAAAAACTTATTTACTTTAAGGAAAAACAAAGTTCCTTCCGAAGTGAATAAAAAACTGGATAAAAACTTATTTACTTTAAGGGGAAAAAACAGTTTAATTTTCTCCGCTTTCAGTTCCTTCCTAAGTGAAGTGTCTAAACTGCAGTCGCCCAATTTTCTAGAGATGTAACATAATGACATTATTTTGCTCTTTTCCTAGGAATTGAAAACAATGAAGGATTGGGTGGAGGGCCTCCACAATAAGACGGACCGAATATTTCACTTGATGACATCCATAGAGGCCAGATTAGACGCAATAGAGGCTGGAATTCTTGTTCCATTTCCTCAACCCGAATTTTCGTCCACGTCGATAGCCTGTTCTGTTTCGTCCCCGCAATTCGCCACAGAATCCCTACTGCAGCATTCCCAACCCGAAACATCAACCCTCACCGACACACAGCCAACACCACCAACGCCAACTCACCGCCCGCGAACTCTACCGAGCATCTCACCAATTGTATTCAGCCTACCAGACGAGACAGCAGTTAAGCTCAAGGAAAGCAGAATGAAGTCAACAACAAGAAAGAAATATACTCGGAAATGCTTAGAGGAGTTTTTTACTCAAGATGAACTTGCTGCTTCGAACTTGAGTGGCACATAGAATAAACAGTAGTTAGACGAGTGCAAGATTAGATCGATTTTCAGTAAGTACATTATCAAATCAACTTCATGATCGATCCGAGATAAAGATAGCAGGCAATTTATTCAGATCATTGTTGGTAAAACTGATTCCGTGTAAAAACAATAACCTTTCTTGGTTTTAGGAAACGAGACCATAAATTGTTCAAGCTAAGTGACAGGCTCCTGTTCAAGGCCAAGACAGAACGAATTTCTAGTATTTTAACTATTTAGTATAGCAATGAAAAGCTGATAAGCACCACTGCGTGGGGAAATCATCCCTCTTCTTCATTTAGAATTAAAAAGTCCATCTCCAACAACATCCAATTTCTTGTTCAAGGATTGGTAATTGCCGCATTTCCTATTATGGAAACTAAAAAAGAAAAGGAGGTGCGCAAGGAGATAGCAACAACAATAAACATGAAGTGCAGAGAAGTGAGAAGAGATAGACAGTCTTCGCAAACCAGTCACACCTCTTAATTTTTGTATTATTCATGAAATGACAAAAAAATCTCTATGCAAACTTTCTTTGACCACTGTAATAAATTTACATAATCACAAAATTACATTTTGTCACACATTTTTGCAAAATTTATAGCTCTTTCTCTTTTAATTTTTCTGAAATCCTCACGAGATGCTGAATAGCTGAACTTTTACCAGTTTGAAGACCCGAAGCCTATCGTCATCCATTTTTAAACAATGACATGTGAAAGCTTTCGTTCAAAGAGTAAAAACCATGACCTTTCCTCACAAAACAAGACACTTGAGTTTTTAATAAATCACACCAGCCCGCAGCCAGTGTCAGTATCATGTAGTGTTAAGTTTATGTTATGGTTCATTATTATCTCTCGTTTTAATTTTATTTTCCTGTGTGTCAAACTCATTATTACGCATTAACATCACCTAAAAACAATTTTTACCACACTCTTGCCATATTTTTCTGTTCAGATCATGGTTGTAAAATACTGCGCACAAATTGAAGGCCACTGTTGTTTATATTTCCAGATCACGTTCCTATTCCTGGTCGCCAGCGAGAGAACAGAGAGAACGGTCACAGTGATCAGCGAGCCGAAGGCGATCGTCAAGCCGGTCAGTTAAGTGTTCTACTAATTCCCCTATTCAGCTTGATAAATTATTTGACATTAGATTCTCATAGAAACACTGTAATTTCTCACGCGGTTATGGCTTCAAAAATCGTGACAAGGTCTTCAATATTGCAATGCGCGACTGTGTCAGAAGGAGTAAATAGACTAATACAGGGTCCGAAATTGCGACCAGCTGGTCGCCAATGCGACTGAAAATTTAGCGTTGGCGACCAGAATTTCA